TTTTGTAGCAGTGGGCAGAGGCTTCTCCATTCGCTCTAACAGTGGGGGTGAGCCTCGTGGCGCTCGTCTTTTGATCGATCTCATATCTTATCTCCATCGTTCAAGTCGCTTTGCCAGCGCGTTCAGAGCACGAGTTGGCGAGGTTATGGTAAGAAATCTATTATTGGAATATTGCGCGATCAGGTACCATTCGCGTACTGTTTCGCGAAGACAATTTTGCCGAAGCCGGCTGATTGGGGGCCGAATATTGACATAACGGGTTTCTGTTTTGGTGGATGTAAGGGGGGGGCTTGGCCTCTACGATAGTTCAGAGTCGTCATAGGATGCACTTGTGGAAAATGAAAATCTGTCTTGTCTTTTTTCGCTGTGTCGGAAAAATCAGTGGAGTTTCACCCGCTTAACGTGAGGTGGCGTAAAACTCGGTGTAAAACGCGATATTAGCGGTGATGTGAAGTGGTCGTGAAATATATTTTTCACTAGTGTTTTTGATATCACTAGGGCGAAACTCAAATGAATTATTTCAAGTTATGGTAACTGATGAGAGAGAATTTTCATCGGTTCCTTTATTCCGATTTACTACTGGCTGTATATTGCAGTTTCACCCGTTTAACGTGAACTGACGTAATACACTATGTGTAAAACGTATAGTAATTTCGCGGTCTATATGCGCCCGCGTTATTCACTGCTTACATGCGTTTTCGCGAAGTCAAGTGTGAAATATGTTTTTCACTAGTGTTCTTTTCATATCACTAGGGTGAAAGAGAATTGATGTGATTTGAATCAGGTGGAGAGAATAAGACGTATGTGTCACCGCCACAGTTAGCGAAGTTTCTGGATGGTGGAAGTCCACCGTTTTATGTAGGCTTTGGTAGCATCAGTGGCGACTTGAGTCCAATGCGGGTTCGATCCCCGCAGATGTCATTTTTTCGGTATTTTTTAATTCAGTTATCGGGCAGTGCTCTCAGCAGTGGAGGAAATTCCTGACCTGAGGGTCATTCTGCATAAGGGGTGGTGCGATCTTCCTGGAATCACCAAGGATGATTTCCCAGAAGGTTGGTATGGGAAATCTGCACGCATGCACAAAGTTTTTTGATTTTTTTTCAGAGATTCGCGATAGAGTATTCCTGTTAGCGCCTCTTCCGAGTAAATGTCCGGTTTGTGAGGAAAAAAAGGCTGAGTGAGT